TCATCATCACTTGATTCAACGGCATCAGCGAGCAAACCATCAGGAGCTAGCGGAACATCTTCATTGTCTGCTTCTTCATCGCTATCGTTAAGCAGTTGCACGAATGAGTTCTCCAAAGCTCCCATCTAGAACACTACCAGAATCGATAACAGAACTTCACTGGACTTAAAGTTGCTCTCCTGGAATGAGACGAGGGGACGCAAAGTCGATGTGTGGAACGAAGCGCATTTTTCGCCTGGTCGAAACACTTTGAAGTCAAGAAACTTCAGCCGGTTGGAATTGTTATCGCAAGATTTAGCACGAACCAGATATATCTCAAATCACAGTGTTAGACAGATATGTTGTTATTCATACGCGAAAACATTATAGTAAAAAAATCGGATCTTAGACCACATTCATGCGGTCGCAGTGGTCATCGAAGTGTGCCGAGAATGCCTCTTGTCCTTACTTTTGTTGACTATTACAGAGCTTTTGACAACGTCGAAACGAATGCGATCCTGTCAGCACTGATCGATCAAGGAGTGAACCCTCCCTACATAAGAACACTAGCTGACTGCATTGGTAGCTGCAGCGCGGCGGTGAAGTTCTCGCCTTCGTTCTTGTTCTTATGTAGGGAGGATCTTCGCTTCTTCGCTGCCCCGCTTACACGCTTCCCTATGAATGGGGAGCGCGACCTCTCCGCATTCCCATAGGAAAGGGTGTGAGACAAGGCGACACTATTTCGCCGAAACTGTTTACAGCCTTGCTGCAGTGGGTCATGAAGTCGTGGGGCTGGAAGGAAAAGGGCGTTCGTGTGGATGGACGGCTCCTCTCGAATCTCCGCTTTGCGGAGGACGGCATTCTCTTTTCAAGCAACATTGTGGGAGCTGAGATTATGCGTGCTGAGCTTAATAAGGCAGGAAAGAAGGAAGGGCTGCGGATCAACCAAACCAAGACACAGTTCATGAAGATGCTTAGGCTGAGGAAGGTCAAATTAAAATCGATGGCACATCTATCAAGAAGACCCCCTCCTACATGTATCTCAGGCGTTCCAGGAATATGAACGACGTTTGGGAAGAACTGGCGCGACGGCAGGAAGCAGCATGGGAAGCCTCCGGACCTCTGAAAGAGGTCACTAACCGTCTGGCCGACCCGGAAATTCGCGCTAATCTGTCCGAATCCACCGCTCCTCCTGCGCTCTGTTACGGGTCGGGGACGGGTGGCCAGTACATTACGTCAAGGAAATTGAGCACAAGTCACAGAGCGCTCGAGCGATGTCTTTTGAGGTTCAATTGTCTCACTCGATATCGGGCCGGACTCGGCCGCTCCGATATGTGCATCATGTCTGGACTCCGCGATGCGATGGAATACATGAAGAACGCAACATTTCGGTGGGCCAGGCCTAATGAGAAGAGATGATGACAGATGGACAAGAAGGACAGCCGAGTGGACTCCCATAGGATCTTCACGAGCTAAGATCAGACCTGCTGTGAAATGCGGGGATGTGCTTGTCGATCACATGAAATAACTGCGACAGCAGCTGAACGACTCCTCACATCGTCATTTTCGTCGACTTCTGAGTCTTCCGTGGATGGCGATCGCGAAAGACAAGCGAATGGTTCGCTGCTGGTGCTCGCACACGAGTGAAGATGAGCCGTATTACTGAACTGAAATTCGGAAGGGATAGGTGCAACAGGAAAAACGCAGATGGTAGGTGATGGGAAGTGATAGCAAGCTATAGGAACTATTAGGTTGTTCGGGAATAAATGCGGGTTCAGCTTGAGAAATTTTTCATTATAAAAACGAAACTAAACAAGATCAACTCAAAAGATAATCTCCATTACTATAAATGTCTTGCTGCCAACGTTTACGCCAGATTCCTCTTCTGAAGAACTCGGCCGGCTGCGACTCGAAGTAGTTAAACACCCAAAGTTGGACTTCTTCGCGGTTTTTGAACCCTCATTCGGCCAGGGAGTGCTGCATCGACCTGAACAGATGGTAATCGGATGGTGCCAGGTCTGGGCTGTATGGCGGATGAGGCATGACTTCCTAGCCTCCAATCCTCAATTTTTTTTAAAATGGTTTTCGCGATCCATACCCGCGACCCAACCCGCGACGCGAAGGTGCGATGCCCATTTTCCGCACCTGCTCGTCTTGTTAATTGCCAGCCATGTTCACGGATGCTAGAGTTTGAGCAGCCAAAATGTGTTGCCAGTTATCGAGTGATTTGGCGTGGATCCAATTGGATGATAGACTTTATCACTTTGTTATCGACGACTCGAGACCGACTTCCATGTTCTTCGTCCTCTAACCTTTCCTTTCGCTAAAACCATCGTCTACACTCGCTTTCTGCAAGGCTTCTTCGCCAAGCACTCAGATGATGAGTTTCAGCAGTCGATTTGCCTGGCTTGAAGTCGTAACATGCAAGCTTGGTCAAGCATTTCCTGATCGTTTTTTCTTCAAAAAAAAAAAAAAAACAAAGTAGACATGAACAAAGATATCTCAAAAGATGCACGATAAAAATCTCTTTATAATAGTCAAAAGTGATTTGAAATTGAAAAATCATGTATAGTAGGAGAGAAATAAATGGACAAAGTCAACGCGCATTCCTCTCCGAACAAGCCAACAGTAGGGAGCATAAGCAGGTCACTAGATCCGTTATGCCGTTCGTGTTAACAGTGGGATTTTGGAAAATTATAAAAAGATATAAGAGAACAAATGGAAGTGACCATAAAAGATCAACTCTACTTTGGATTGTTCATGGTCGGTGACAGGGACGATGACTGGGTGGTCATTTGTAATTTATGAGACAGCTAAGATATAAGTAAAAGTGCCAGTGGTTCATTAGAGGTTAGAACCATTTTATAGGTGAGTAAGAGAGCTCGGAGTCAGATGGCCTATCCGAGTGATTGACTATAGTCTAAATAAGCGGTGACATCCGTGAAGATTTATAACATTTATAGGTTTTGATGTTTTCTTAAAACTAAAAATGTTTAATGGAGGCAATGTTCAAAGTTCCTGTGCACATCAGCGGCATGCCATAATTTTTCTCAAGACATAATATCCTCGAACAGAGGTTGCGTCCTGTTAATTTTTTTTGACTTTGGCTTCATCAAATAGGGAGTTTGGGAGAAAATTCTAAAAAGTGTTTGGTGAAGAAGTGACAGAAAGTCAAGGGTTGATATAGGCGAAATAGCGCAAAAGGCGTAATTCGTTCCCATATTTTTCTGGGAAGTGGTTGAGGCGTAGCACAGTAGGATTTTGTATTGAAGGTTAATTTTATGCTGCCTCATGATGGCTGATTAGTTCAATATTATAGAAAGTAAAAGTGAATGTGATTACATGTAGTCATGTATAACATAATAAATGAAAAATATGTATATGAGATACTAGGCCTTTAAAAACACAAACTTGTAACTGCTTCCGATGATGATGATAACCGGCCGAGCAGCAGCACGATGTGAAGGGGAAGCGAATTTCGATCTTGCCATGCGGATCGCGCTAGAATTGATACGGTTGCTACAAATGAACTTATGACTAACTAGAAAATATCAGAATCCTCAAATGCATTTAACCTGACTGGCTTCTTACAGAGTAGAGCGTAAAGAGCCTTTGACGGAAGAGCGATGAGTTCAGAGCGCACTGTTCGACGCTCCTGCGTCGACCGGTGACGCTCTTCCGCCAACCGGTGGCGCTCGGCGCCCTTCGTCGATCGATACCGCACGGGTCAGCGGTGGGCATTTTCGCTTGACGCTCTTTTGTGAACCGGCCCATATGATCCGCACGCCCATTAGGATGCGTTGTACGCGCTTACATTTCGTCATAAAAATGAGAGTATTTTTGTGTACATTAGGTGCCAACCATCATTAACAGGTTTGAAGAAAAATTTTTCTTGTGATGGTTCTCCGATTCTTTTCACTTTCATCGTACTGTTCCCTTCCCTGCTCTTGTTCAAAGACCATGTGTCACTAGCTGATATGCAGGCTGAGCTCAATCTGGCTCGTTGGCTCTACCACATTGAAGAGTCAAAAGACAGGGTAATCTCGAGTAGGGCTCCCCACCGTGTAGACCTACAGAATCTTCCACGATTTGAGACTCGAAATATCGGACCTGTTCAGAGAGTAAAGGACTGGCTTGCGCTTCAACTAGCAATCGCATTATTCATCAAATACGCAATTAACATCTTGAACATTCTGAATTCCTTCAAGTTCAAGAAACAAGAACGAGTTGTATCACACGGTCGCGCCGCAGGGACGGCTATAGACGGTACTAGAGGCCACTCTACGAGGACGATGATGAGCGAGGCGACACTTAGTACAAGTGATTTACGGGTTTTCAAAATCTGCGGCTTCCTGCTTCCTTGTTTTACTTTCGCTATGTTCCGGTGAGTCGAAAGCGATCAAAGGAGATGTTGTGAAGAAAACAGGAAATGGCCAAATACTTTGTGCTATCACGTGATATACAGGGCCATAAATATGGTAACAAAAAAATTTGTCCCCGGAAACCGCAGTTCATATTGATACATGAACAATTCTTTTGAGTTCTCTCTTGAGTTTTTGACTATGCATCGCATCTACAAAACAAACACACGATCATATTATACACACGATCGTCTCCTGTACTAAATACAGCTCGAGGACGTATCGGCTACTCATCGACAGTGGCACGCAGAATTTCTTGAGAAACTCTAGCGACCCATCCCATTGTGGTCCGGGAATTTCGTAGAAGGGTTGGAAGGTGGGATATGGTCGCGAACATTCCTTCAGCACCACTCTTGATCTTTTCCCATTCATGAGCATGTGCGCCGTAGTTTTCAAATCGAATCCCCAGAAAAATCTGTTACCCTCAGCTGCATTCTTTTAGAAAACGGAAACCCTTCTTAAAGAGGTTCGGGATAAATTTTGTGCTGTTTTCGACCAAAATTTGCGATATCGCTTTGATGATAGAGATTTTAGCCCAACCTATCATGAAAAAGGAAATGGCTTTGAGAGGCGATCCAACTCTTCTCAACGGCCCCAGTACTCGTATGGTGAGATATCTGTTTACTTTGAGATCATAACATTTCTTCCGCGCTAAACACCTTTCTGCAGCTTCCGCAGCGTACTCCTTCCCGAGCAATTGGATTCGCAAAATGGGTCGTGTGTGAGACAAGATGACCGTATTGAGGTACGTTGTGGACCTGTCTACGCAAAGCATTCAGGAGACTGACGTGTGGGAAATGTTGAAGCGAGGAACAAACCTGGAAAAGGGCACCAAATGCGCGCAAAGACGGAACGGTCGGTGGATGTCTGCAAAGCTCCACCGTTTCTCGAAATCTGAGAAATTGAGAGTACCAAGCCAGATATGTCAGCTAAGGGATATCATAAATGGAGGTGCAGTTTTTTAGAAACCCTACAAACAAGGAAATTACGGACGTCCGAAAAGTTGTTACCATATTTATGGCGCACTTTGTACTTTTGCTGATACGATCTTAAAAAAATCTACGTACCCCTCGATGTTCGTGCCGGTTTCGTTCAGCGGCAATATGTCCAGATCAAAAAGATCTGCTTTCGAAGTGTACGCATCAAGGTCGGCGATGAGTTCGACACTGCTGGCATAGCGAATGATTCCTAGCCGGGTTTGGAACTGCTCTGCTTGGCCCACTGTTAGCTGTGCAAAAGCTGACACGACGTAGTCAGTTGCCTGAAATTTGGCACAAGAAATTAATGGAAGGTAGTTAATTCGACGCAGGTAATACTAGAGAGGCCGAGTGGCTCGAAGTCATAGTTCGTGATAAAAATGGTTTTAGAGTTTATGATTGGTATTAACCTATGACCCACTTGAAGCGTGTACGAGGTGGAAAGCGGTCTAGTTAGGGCTCAAAAATCGGTTCTGGTGCCCACCGCCGGTCGATACTCTCAGAAAAGGGGCTCTAAAATTATCTTGAAGAAGTTTGCGCCATACCACATCAGACGCATTTATAGTGAATGTTCCTTTACTCATTCGCGCATATTGTTAAGCACCTATGGAAATCCCATCTTAACACCATTTCCGTCGATATTACTGTACACTATCACCATGTGATATACTATAGTACGACTAGGCCCTCCAACTATTGCATAAGGACATAATCTCTCTCATTTATAAAGCAGAAACTTGGTGTGTCGGTTTGTCGGTTTGTGTGTTTGTCGGTCTCGGTTTGTCGGTATTTCGGTATGTCGGTGTGTCCGTCCGCAAACGTTCATGATTACGATAAAGGTGTGATAGGTAGTGATATGGAAAACCCATTCTCTCAATGAAACTCTTACATTTCCTTCTTTATATATAAATCAGTAAATGGGTGGGTAGGTTAATGGAGTGTAGTGAGTTCTGCGTAATGTAGTGAGTATATAGTGAAGCCAGTAATACGACCCTGGGACTTCTTACTGACACTGTACAAGGCTACCCCATTCATTTTTTTTCATTTTTTCTTCCTTCATTCTCTTCTCATTTCACTATTTCAGTCTAATAACGCGCAGTGAAAATTCCCCTCGCTC